GGATCTCCCACTTGAGAGTATTTGGAAGCATAGCCTATGCACATATCCATGATGATAAAAGTGAGAAGCTCGTCTTCATTGGGTATGACTCTAACTCTAAAGGGTATAAACTTTACAATCCTAACAATGGAAAAACCATCATTAGCCGAGATGTGGAATTCAATGAAGAAGAAGAATGGAATTTAGGTCTACATGATGAAAACTACAACTTACTTCCAAATTTGATGGAAGATGAAGAGATTGAGCAACCAAGGATGGAGCAAGAAAGAGAAGAGCACCATTGTCATCTGGAAGTCAACAACAAGAACCATTGTCATCTGGAAGTTCAAGCGAAAGAGCACCACACTTTAAGAGCTTGCAAGAACTTTATGAGGTAACATAAAATCAAGATAATCTCACTTTGTTTTGCCTTTTTACTGATTGTGAGCCAGTGAGTTTTGAAGAAGCTGTCCAAAGCAAGAAATAGAGTAATGCTATGGAGGAAGAAATCAATGTGATTGAAAAGAATAAAACATAGGAGTTGGCTTCACTTCCAAAAGGGCACAAGGCAATTGGTGTAAAGTGGGTCTACAAAGCTAAAAGGAATGCCAAAGAAGAAGTTGAGAGATACAAGGCGCGATTGGTGGCAAAGGGCTATAGTCAACGAGCAGGAATCGATTATGATGAGGTATTTGCTCCTGTTGCTCGCTTAGAAACTATTAGACTAATCATTTCTTTGGCAGCCCAAAATAAATAGAGTATACACCAAATGGATGTAAAGTCAGCATTTTTTAATGGAGTACTTGAAGAAGAAGTGTACATCGAGCAGCCAGCTGGGTACGAAGTCAAAGGACAAGAAGATAAGGTATTCAAGTTGAAGAAGGCACTCTATGGGCTAAAGCAAGCACCAAGAGCTTGGAATAGTCGAATTGACAAGTACTTCCAAGAGAATGGTTTCACCAAATGCCCTTATGAGCATGCACTTTATGTAAAGCTCAAAGATGGAGATATTTTGATCGTGTGTTTGTATGTTGATGATCCAGTCTTCACCGGAAATAATCCAAGGATGTTTGAAGAGTTCAAGAAAGTGATGAAGAAGAAGTTTGAGATGATTGAGATTGGGCAGATGGCGTACTATCTCGGCATTGAAATCAAGCAAAAGAAAGAAGGCATTTTCATCACCCAAGAAGGATATGCAAGAGAGATATTGAAGAAATTCAAGATGGAGGACTGCAAGCCTATCAACACCCCATAAAATGTGGAGTTAAGTTGTCCAACTATGGTGAAAGAGAAGATGTTGATCCTACTTTCTTCAAAAGCTTAGTTGGAAGTTTGCGCTACCTGACATGCACCAGACCTGACATTCTCTTTGCTGTTGGATTCATTAGTCGCTACATGGAGTCTCCAACTACTACACACTTGAAAGCTGCAAAGAGAATCCTCCGTTACATTAAAGGTACTATCGATCTTGGCTTATTTTATTCATCTTCTAATGAATATAAACTTGCTGGGTATAGTGATAGTGATTGGGCTGGAGACACAGATGATAGAAAAAGCACCACTGGGTTTGTGTTCTGATGTGCCATCGGCATATAGGTATTTCAAAGTAAAAAGAACAAGGATTTGATAGTAATTGAGTGATAAAAAGTAGTATTTTTTATGAATCCTTGATAATCTCTCTTCAGGCACTTTCACTCTGTTTTTATGTTTTTATAGGAGAAAAGCATAGGAATAAGCTATATGCAAATGATCAACTCACGCTAATCGCATGAGAATGACGCGGATCGTGCCAGATTCAGGAAGAAAGAGCAAACACCACTGTAATTCACGTTAATAGCGCGATGTTCACGCTAGTAGCGCCAAGAATGGAGTTCTCCACTGGTTCACAAAGCGATTAGCGTGGATTTGGCGCTAATCGCGTGGCGTCGCGATTACAGTTTCCTGAATTGCAGAATTGAATAAAAACAGAAATAAAAATAAAATCTTTTGGAAGATTTTGACCTGATTGAGTCATTGGCTATAAAAAGGAGTCAGAAAACCTAAGAGAAAAACTTTTGCACGGAGAGAAATTGACGAAGGCAGAACGCGGAGCAAGCTTCTTCTTCAAATTTTCTGGTTATTATTTTCTTTTATGAATTCTTTTCTACACATTAATTTGTCAGATATGAATATGTCTGGCTAGTCTTTTATTATTGTGGTAAGGGTCACAACCCTTAATGTACCCCTTGTAGTTTGGTTAATTTTTATATTTATTTATTCTAATTGTATTTATTTTATCCGGCTCTTCATGTTATGATTCTTTTAAAATCGATCATTCTATTAGGATTGCGAGGGTTATGATTTTCAAATAGGAATATTGAGATTCTAGTTCCTGACAAAGGGTAAAATAACAATTCATGTACGCACTAAGGATAGGCTGCATGAATTGCAAACGTGAAAAATTCACTGATTTAAAGGCTTAACTTGAAAAGGAATTTCTAAGGGATTAAGATTCTAATAGGGTTAATAAAGTTAAGATCGCTAAGGAATTAGGGCTTAACTAATCAATTAACAGATGGTGAATTGTTTGATCAATTGTTAAATTAAATGTAAAACTTAATTCATAGTGCAAGGTGGGGATCATAAAGGTGTATTCTTTTACCGCAATATTCTTTTACATATTTTCTCAACCTTTAATATCTCGTTTCTGAAATTCTAAAGAATCTTTGAATTATTCTTAGTTTCTGAAAATTGCTTTAAATTTTCACCAATTACAATTATTCTCAATTCAATTTTATTAATCCAACAAAGAGAGGAATAGTTATAATAAATTCGGTGCCTCAATCCTCGTGGAGACGATACTCTACTTACCTTTTATTACTTGGAACGATCGGTACGCTTGCTGATTTTTCGCAACATGTTCTTCATGGGAGATACTTCTTTCACATGGATGTCGAAGAAACACCCTATTGTCACTTTATCTACTTGTGATGCCGAGTATGTCGCAGCTACATCATGTGTCTGCCATGCCATTTGACTAAGGAACTTGCTTAAGGAGTTGAATATGAAACAAGAGGAGCCAACCAATGTTTATGTTGACAACAAATCTGCAATAACATTAGCAAAGAATCAAGTCTTCCATGACAGAAGCAAGCATATTGACACACACTACCATTATATAAGAGAGTGCATTGCAAGAAAGGAGGTGCATATAAAGTATGTGAAGTCTCAAGAGCAAGCTGCAGATATCTTCACCAAGCCACTGAAGAATGAAGACTTTGTCAAGATAAGAAGATTGCTTGGAGTTACAAAATCAAGTTTAAGGGGAGTGTTGAAAAATAAACTTGTTTTGGGTCAATAGTTAGTTGGCCCAAATTCTAGAATAGTCTTTAGTAGTTTTTTGTATGGCCCAAATATTCAAGAGGTGTGTCTCTAGATATTTCCATAGAATGGTTGGAACTAGAGACTATAATAAATGTCTAGTATAGGAGTTTGTAGAGAATTCTCTAGAAGGCAATTTGTAGCCCTTAGATGTGAATTGTGATGGCACAATCTTAGCCATTGTAAGGGGTGCTACTAGTATAAATAGGTGGGTTCTCTACCATTTTGTATCAAGTCAAGAAGAAACAAGAGTTTAGTAGTAAAAAGTGTTCTCTTCCTCCAAATTTCTCTAAATTTCATTTTCTCAAATATCCTCCTCCCAACAGTGTGTGCTCTCTTTTGTGCCTTTTGGGTGAAACCAACGTTATTAAATCCGGCACGGTCGAGGTACTATCACTGGTTCAACCAGTGGTCACTGGTTCAACCGCATGACCCGATAAGTATATGTAAATCTATAATTTATATTAAAAAAAACTATAAATATACTTAAATACTTGTAAAAAAAATACTAATTTCAAATATTTTAATATGAAAATAATAAATTACACATCATTGTCCAACAAAAGATCAATCAAACATATAATATTTGTGATACTAGTGTTTCAGGTTCAGTAAACGACATCTCTAACTATAAATCAAATCAAAATTTCCTGCATATTGCATAATCAAGATAGTATTAGTGTTGTAGGTACATAATCTATGTAAGTTAATAAGCTACAAATCACTCAAATATTTCAAAAGAAAACAAATCATTTGTGTTTGAGAATAAAAAAAAGAAGCATTCATTTATGAAAATAAATTAGTTTTTTGTTTATAGACCGAGCCAGATCACTGGTTGAACCGACCGGATCACCGATTTTTCGAAAACCGATCGAGTCGCATCGATTTTGTAACATGACCGGTCTAATATGAAAACCGGACCGGTTACATGACCGGTTGACCGGTTTTCGGCTCAGTCCGGTTTATATAAATTGCGTGAAACTATTACTCCTAATTACTCTTTCACTTGTTTCCCTCTGTTTTCCTTTACCATAGCTGGTGGCTTGGTGTTAATATAGAATGTCAACATTGTGAAGTTTTAGTTTGAATTCAAATTTGAAATAAAAAATAGAGAAAATGAAATGATAGATGGTGGTGTTTGGAGAACTTTGAATTAACCGAGAAATATTCCGTTTGCTGTATTGACACTATCACGTAAAAGATTGCTAAAAAGATTAATGTGGGTTAATTTTATATTTATTGATTAATGGGTAATATTTAAGTTAGTTTTTATCAACACAAACATGACATGATCCAAATATAAATTTATTATGTCGTTTTATTGAGTAATATTGAAAATTGGCGCCTCTAACTCTAATAGCCGCCAAAAAAAGTTCAATGCCAATAACATATTTTGATCAAAGACAAAAAATAATGATATTTTTTAATTTAAATTTTAAGAGGCAAAATTTCTCACAAGCTTTTCATACGGAATCAGGGTATTATTAATTAACTGATTAGTTTTTTTTTATTTCTTATATAATTTCTCAAAGTATTCTTCCCGCGAAAGTTGAAGACTAAAACTAGTTAATTTTTAAATTACAAATGACGTGAAATTTTGAGAGAGAGAGAGAGAATAAAAAGCATTAAATTGACATTTCAAGATTCGAGAAAACCAGTTTCCCCATCGAATTATAAGAACAAAATCTCCTCATAGTAAGGTTATTTTAACTAATACCATGTTCACGTTTGAACCACTGAACTCATGCAAAATGATTTCATTTTACACATAAATTTTTAGGTAATCATCCATGCGTGTGTAATTAACCTCAGGGTAAAGCTTGGATGCTTCTTCTCCTTCCTCCCCAATTTCAAAATTTGTTAAACATCCCTCGTAGAAAATATGGAAGAAGTGCCCAATCCCAACTTGAAGTTTATAATCCAACCCTGCAAATTAAAAGTCGCATTAATCAGAAATCACAAATTGGTTAAGAGAATCAGTTTACTTTCGAAATCAAATTGAAGTCATAACTTCGTGTACACAAACTAAATTAATGACAAATAATTGAATGTTTTACCTTTCAATGTTGTAAGAAAGCCTTCAGGAGATATGTATGTCTTCTCCAGTTCCTTTCCAATAAGTTTCTCCCAAATTCCAATAAGCTCTCCTTGAGAGAGAACATTTTCTGGAGGCCTTAGGTACAATGTTTTGTTTAGTGTTCGAGGGTCATCTATTGTCTTGATTGTGTATGTTGCAACATCATCCTCATCCAGAAAAACAGCTGCAATCATATATGTTCACAGAAATATCACAACAATATATCATTTTACTGATATAACTATTTTTATTATCATTCGATCAAAATCAAATCAACAGTTACAAAATGATATCAAGTGAGAGCTGGTAATTTGAATTTGATCTAAAATGGTATAACTTTAAAAAAAGGAAAGCTGGTAAGTATTACTTCTTCTATTTAACCGGATTTGATGGTGGCTGAAAATCTTATTAAACTTATGAAGGTACCTTTGAGTTTGCCATCTCCAAAGAGATGAACTTTGTCCCTTGGAGGCACAAAAGACCCCATTTGAGAGAGGCTGCCAGCAAAGTATCCAGCAAAAAGATTTGCAGAGATGTATGTGAAAGGGATCTTAGCTTCCTCTATTGCTTTTCTCACAGCCATTTTGTCATCAAATGTTACCCTTCCTGGTTCTAATGCATGCCCCATCCTTGCTGGGTCTAGGCCAAATTCGGAAGGCAAGAAACGCTACATGGAAAAGGAGAAAAGAGTTTTATAATACTCTTTAGTTTTAATGTATATAATTATGTCAAATTGGAAATTTAAGATAATGATGCTGCTGCCAATCATGTGCTCCAGACACATGAAATACAATGCAAAAAGAGTACTGCCATATAAGACACCCGAATTTTGATTAAATTCCTGAAGAACTTCATATTGGGAAAAGTTTTGCAAAAATAATATTTTTATTATTCATTGGAAAATAAAGTTATAAGAAAAGTGTGTTAAACTAATCTTGCATAGAACGGTTATGAAGCTTGCATAAGTAAGTACAGTTCCTATAAAAAATTGAATAATATTTTGTAGTGCACTATTTAACATACACAATCAAAATGAATATAGTATACTATATACCTTATGCCTTTTTTTTTCCATTATTTTTTTTTTCGCATCATATATCATGAGTTCACATCTTCTATATCTATATCTATATCTATATTTATATGTCCATTATATATACATGATACGGAGTCAAAAATAATTTTGTTAACTGACTTTGATTCCAAGCATGAGCCAGTGTCGGAGTAATACTAATAAGAGTTTCAAATAAAATAAAAGGAAAAGAAAAAGGTCAATTTCAAATTACCAACACTTATTGGTCCCTCTTTGAACTAGCTAGAAGAAGAGAATGAGGTTCTGTATCTAAAAAAAATGAAGTAGAGAATGGTACCAACCAAAGCTCGTTAATATCATCCTAGTGGCCTCAAGTAGTAAGTTAAGGATCAATGGGAAGGTGTGTTGGGTACACTTATAGTTAAAGAGGTAATTTGGCAGAATAACAGCAAGCTCAGGCGATAGCAAAGAAGATGATGGTCTCCTGAGATAAAATCCTCAAAGATTTCCCCTCAACATGATAAATGTGATGTCATATATAACTGGCCCTGTGAGTCCTTATGGTGTGAGATTGTATGAACTCTGATTTGAAAAATGCTACGCGTGTATGTATAATAAGGGTTGGCAAAACGGGTCAATCCGGCCTCACCTGGCCCAACCCGCATTCAACTCGAAAAAAATTAGTCGGGTTAGGATTGACTCGAAAAAAAAAACGAACCAGAAAACCCATCTGACCCGAGTCAGGTTAGGATTGGCTCGTGGGTTGGTTCAAAAATATGACTCGTGGGTTGGCTTGAAAAAATAACTCGCGAGTTGACTTGCGGGTTGGCTCGAAAATTGCTCGCGAGTTTGCTTGTTTTCAACCTATTTAAATGACCATGTAGTATTAATGCACTAGCCATCAGCTTAAACAAAGCGTTACAAAATGAGAAATAAAAGCAAAATATTTTAATTTCAAATTTTCTTCACAACAAATTTGCATCAACATCAAGAAACAATCAGAACAGATATTTGAACCAAACAGAGCCAGCACAGCCTAACAATATAAAAATGGCAGGGATATGAGAAGATTAGGGACTTAAGTTTAGAGAAGGAAGAAAAAATGATGACAGCATATATAGGTTTTGTTTATTTTTGTATATTATATTTTGTATTTTTTTATAATTAAAAAAAAAATCAACCCGCGAACTGAATCGTTTTACCCACGGGTTGACTCGTTTTTTCACGAGCTGACTCGAGTCGGGTTGGCAGCTCATTTTTTACCAATTCAACTGACTCATTTTTAACGAATTACGGGCCAACCTGACGGGTTGGCTCATTTTTAACAACCTTATGTAAAATACGAGGAAACGTGTATATTGAGGAGACAAACGTGTATATTAAGTGCTTGAAGCATTGCCGGATAACCATTTAGATTAGCTGAATAAAGTCATCTAGCTGGTTTGACTATTACTAACAAATTAAGATGAGGTACCCCAACTTGACTTGAGTGCTGTGTTCTTAAATCAGCGGTGGTCTTAAGTAGTAGGTGCGGGAAGCGCACACGTACGCAGTTACATGTCCATTTCATATCATTTAAAAATTTAATAATTTACTATAACACGGATATTTTGTTCATACGGTTAATTATGTTGAGATATATACTTTTTTATTTCTTATTATTTCCAAAACTTTATATATATATATATATAGAGATTAATGCAGTATTTTGGTCAGGTCATGCATTTTTATAAATAAAAAAATCAAAAATCAAAATTGTTTCATCTTGTCAAAAAAATCTAGAACTCATTTTAAATTTTTTTTGCAATTTTATTTGTTAGTAGTATATTATTCTACAATGACATCAAATTTCAGCTTTCAATACTTAAGTAATTTGTAGAATAAGAAATTAAGAGAATGTGACATATATCATTTTAATGTACATGAATTTGAAAAAAATATGAGTTCATAACATTTGGCCTTTTGAATGTATTGAGAGGTATGCTATAGGGATTCTGAGTTCCAATTTAAATTGACATAGTAATAACGTGTATTTTCATTGATATGTGCTTTATGAACTTGTAAAAATGTAATTGAATAATATTTTAGCTTATTTTGTGAATTTTATTTAACTCATTTTAGATATAGATAATATAATTAAATTTATAGGTTCATATTTACATATATTTTTAATATATTCGGGTCAACCGGTCTAACAAATGACCCATCAGTTCAACCAGTGTTCCAATGAGTCAATACTCTGATCGGGTTGATGCCGGATCGAGTTTAATAACACTAAATTAATTTTTATTATATTATAAAAATTAATTTTATCTCCTACATATATAAAAATATATAAAGACAATATAAAACCATATAAAAAAAACATAAATCTCATATAATTTTATCTACTCAACAAATGCTCTCATTATTCCCATTGTGTACATATATCCAAGTATGTCTCCTATTCTGTCTATATTCACTGATCCAATCCAATTGGCGCTAAAAAGTAAAAGCGATGACATCATAACCTTTTAATATTTGAGTTAAATTAATTACTTAGAATTTACCCAATGAAAGGGTTTAGAGTTTGATTCCCATCACTCTATGTTTCTAATAATTTTTTTTAATTTTCATATTTCAAATATGTTAAATTAAAAGTTTATTACTACTAGGCCCAAATCTATAACTCTCTATTTTTCTAATAATTTTTTTAACTTTCATATTTCAAATATGTTAAATTAAAAGTTTATTATTAGGCCCAAATCTATAACGGGAAATAGTATAGTCTCATGTTGTAGGAGACTACTATCTTATGCTATAGACACTTCGAAAAGTGTGCCGTTATTTTCTTTTCTTTTCTTTTTCTTTTTTAGTAATGGGTCCCATCATCTTGTGTCTTAGCATAAGATATGATCTCTCCTACAATACGAGAGTAGACAAACCCATCTATAACTCGACATAATTCTTTGTGCTGACGAGAGCATCGTATTATAGTAAAATTAATTTTTCCAATTTTTTTTTTTACATTCATAACAACTTAAATAAAAAATTTACTTAAGCAGAATTAAATATATATTACGTAAATCAAGTAATTAGATTCTAAAAAAATACTATTAATATTAGGTATAATAAGAAATAATATAATATAAAAGAAAAGAAAATACCCTTACCGAAAAATTAAAAGAAAATTGGTTCTTTAGATCTAAAAAAAGAAAGAAAAGAATGGTCAAACCTTGATGTTGCCAGCATCTTTGATGGCCTCAACTAGTTTGAGTTGCAAGGCTATGCTGTGACTTCTGATATGAACACCAGAGATGGCACTGATGACAACATCAACCTGCTTGATCACATCCACAAGGCTCTGATGATCGGAAAAAGAGGCTTGAACAATATGAGCACCTTGCTTCTTGAATGAGAGCAACATCTGCAGCTTCTCAATTTGGAGGCTCAACTCAGGGCGTTGAATCACATATGTTTCATGTCCCTGTGCTAGACTTGCCTTCACTATCCTCCTCCCAATATACCCTGTTCCCCCTACTACTAGAACCTTGCTCTTCCCCATTTCCTCAATCTCTCTCTCTCTCTCTCTCTACCTTCTTGGTTATGTGTTTTTCTGCTTCAATATTTTGGGTCCTTGCTTTCGCTTTTTATTATGAACAAGTTGCCAATCTTTATTGAATTAAATAGTGTACTAATAATGATATATAAGAATAAGAAATAAAGTTTTCACCAAAAAATAAATAAAGAAAGAAAGGAATAACTGTGAAATTGTTGCTATGCACTAATAGTAAAATTTAAGTTGTTTTTTTAGAGTAAATATTATTTTTTGGTTCCTATTTAAAAATATGGTATCTACTTTAATTTCTTAAAAAAAAAAAAATTAGTGTTGAAGTCCCTAACAAATTTAAAGTAAATTCATTTAATTAAAATTGTGATCTCTCATAAATTTAAAAAAGATCTATATTAGTTTCTTGAAAATACTAAAATAGATTCACTTAGAATTTTATAAAGATCAATTTACTAGTTTTTTTTAAAAAAAACTAAAATAGGAATCATATTTTTGTTGTTGTTAAGGATCCAATTTTTTTTTTATAATATATATTTATCTATAAGAATGGGATGGTGGTAGCTTGGTAGGTGATGTCAAGACGAATTTCGAGTCCAACTTGTACAGCTGATTCTTCTGACAATGTTGACTGCATAGTTTGGTGAAGTGGCCAATTTTGAATAAGACAAAATAAAAGCTTCTTTTAAACGAATTTATTTTAAAATATATAAGTAAATATCTTTTTATTAAATTTTAGTAAATTAAGATGTATAATGTTCGTAATTAGAACTTCTAATTAGAAGTACAAGTAAATTGTGGGTTTGATTATCAGATAAAACGAAGGAGCTTATTAGCGAAAAGAAATTAAATGATTGCTGCAGCAGCCACTATCACAATGTCAATCATGACTAGGGTTTTAGTGTGATGATACAAGGATTTTAAACGGAATTACCTCAAGGAGCTGTTTGGTATATGGTAATATTTAGGATGCCTTGGAAAGTGGACGTGGGAAGTTTTTATTCTCATGTTTGATAGAAGGAAAACAAGAAAAATGTCTGAGGATTTTTTTTTCCTTGGAATTCATTTAACACTAGTGAACGAGATTTCAGAATCCATTTTTGGATGTGGTATTTGTTTTTCCCTGCGGCGTTGAAATCTATTTTACATATTTTCGGTCTAAATTACCCTCCATTTTACATTCATTGGGCACTGATGATTTTTTATTTTTTTACTCTTGTGCAATCACAAGGGTAGTTTCGTAAACACTATCTTTTTTCCCAGCAATATTTTGTCATCAACCAAACACATCTTCGATAAAATTAATTAATATTTCCGGTAATATTTTTGTCTACCAAACACTTTTTTTTAACATTCCAGGTGAATTTTTATACCCACCATATTCCCGTATATATTTTTTCCCTGGTAAAAAAAAATATCTCCTGTACCAAACGCCCCCCAAGAGTTGTTTGGTTGGGGAATTTTATATTTTTGTGAGGGAAAGTTTACATGAATTTTCTAGTAGACCATGTTTAATAGGGAATTTTAAATAATTTGCATAGTATTCTTATTTGTATAGGCATCTAATTTTATGTGTAAAATTGGAGCAAAAACATTATATAGGAATACCACTTACAAGGTGATATTTTTGGATTATCAGCAAAATGTAAAAAGAAATCTACCTACCTGTTATGGATCCATATAAGAGGCCCATTAAGTGATAGGTCCAATAAGGAGCAATCCAAGATCTGAATCAATTGTAATCACGATTAGTATTCATTAAGGATACTAATCCTAATACGACAGCATAGCAAGCAGGTCTGGACCCTCACCAGATGCACCAAAGGCCCATCCACGCTACCCACAGGTAACCTCTATAAATACAAGATAAACCCTAAAGGTACGTTACGCTCTCTCTCTTACTGTTATGCTGTCACTGTGCGCACACACATACCCCATTGGCTAACGCCGTTATAGTATTCTGTGCACAATGATCTGCTTGACTCAAGGGTATCTCCTTCATAGATACCTTGGAGAGGGCACTAGATCCAAGAGAAATATACCAGCCTATTGGGCTGGACATCTCTGTCCCAAGGACAGAACATTGGCACCGTCTGTGGGGAAATTCTTCTCTGAATTTGAAGTTCCCACTAATCTGACGAAGGATTACAATCCAAACAAGGAGCAGTAGCCAGCAGCCACCCCAAAACCAGAGCCAACTGCTGGATCCAGTTCTGGAAGAGGCAAATCAGTCTCAACACCAGCTAGGAACCGATGTGGATTATGATCAAGTCCATGTCAGTGAAGATGTCTCAGACACCGCTTCCACTCCAGCGAGTCGTGATAAGGGTCCTGATCCAATTATGGCCCCAGTAAGGAACAACCCTCCCCAGCACCCCGGGGATCTTGCTGCACGTATTTCTCAGTCAGCCGATCCAGATACTCAGCTGGCTCAGAATGCATTCGCTTTGATTATGCAGCGAATGGCAGAGTTGGAAAATCACAATAACCTCCAGCGGCAAAAAGTTTTCCAAACAATACGAGAGGAAAGTACCAGGGGAATGTGAGACCTGGAACAACACTTAATGAGGTTAAGTGGAAGAAACGAAGGCCAGGATGCCAATGGCCGGGAAGGAAATCGCAACTCGGTTCATCAGAATCGGGTTATAGAGGTGGCAAACCGTGAAAGGCCTAATCCGGCGAACACGACAAATCCGAACCTGGAAAACCAGATGTTGGGGGGACATAACGCTCCTCTGCAGCCCATGATTCAAAACGCTTCAGCAGAAGCAAATGGGCAGAGACACCAGGATGGAATTCGCCTTCACCGAGATGAACAGATAGTTAGAGGACGGGTGGAATTGGGTGCCTACAGAAGAAAATATAGCAGGGGGCAGTATAACAACAGCCCCTTCACTGGGGAGATTTTGAATGCACCCTTCTCAGAAGACTTTGATTCGGCACGACTGCCGAAATATGATGGAAGTCAAGACCCATAGGTCCATATTGATGCTTTCGATACGGACATATACATCTGAGGAATAGACGAGCCTCTTATATCTCTGATATTTTCCATAACCCTGACTGGGGCTGCGCAGGCATGGTTCTCTACTTTACCTGCCAACTTCATTGGGTCTTTTGAGGAATTTGGGGAAAATTTCCTCTTAAACTTTGCAACAAGCAAGAAACACCCGAAGTCCGAGTTCTCACTTGGAAAGATACATCAGCAACCTGGAGAAACCCTCCAGAGATACCTTAATCGGTTCAAGGACGCTGCGTTGCAGGTGCCGGGTTTACAAGAAAATGTCCACGTACATCTCATTGTGGCTGGTTTGGATGGTACATCCAGGCTAGCCAAGTCGGTCTATAAGGACCCAGTGAAGACGTTGAAAGAATTCAGAACTCGTTAGAAAAATACCTCGAACTCGAGCAAATGGAGATTGCCAATGCGCAATCTCACGAGGGCAAAAGAATTAGCCCAAGAAGGAGAAGTCAGGCCCCGAAAGGAAAGGAACAGGTTAATAATAAGAAAAAGGAGTCTAGGACCAGAATCCTGGATGGCCGAGATCGAGTTGGAAGATATGAGAAGTACACACCGTTGAATGCGCCATGCTCTCAAATTTGGAGGGAAGTGGCGATGACGGAAATGAAGAAGGTAGAAAGACCCCGGCCCATATTCGACAGAGGAGGTTTGGACAAATCCAAATACTGTGCATTCCATGATGGACCGGGTCATACTACTGACCAATGCTGGGATCTCCGAGATGCTGTGGAGAAATTTGTTAGAGATGGAAGATTACGCCAATACGTGATCAAAACCCAGGGTTTCAAAAATAATAAAAGGAAGTTGGGAAACAGAAATAGAAGTAAAAGCTCTGTTCCTGAAAAGAAAAACAAGGAGGAAAGGAATCAGAAAAACAATTCCAACCATGATGAGTTCCCAGAAGCGGAATTTGACTGCAATGTAATTAGTAGAGCCCTGGGAGGAGGAGGAGACACTGTAAGTTCCAGAAGAAGGTATTTGGAAGAGGTACTCTCCATTCGGGACCGTCCTAAATTCAAGGAAGACCTGAGCAAACCAGACCCTACCCTTTTGTATTTCACAAAAGAGGACATGCATAGTGTGTTGTCGGGACATGTAGACGGGTTAGTCATTGCTGGAACCTTGGTAAATTGCCGGGTTAAGAAGATTTTCGTGGATGCAGGGAGTAATGCTGACATCATACTCTGGGACGCTTTCAAAAAGATGAACCTGGATGAGGAGGACCTCAAACCTTGCAAAACGACTTTGATAGCTTTTAATGGAGAGCATACACCTCCTAAAGGCTACATAGACCTCAGGTTGACCTTGGGAACAAAAGAAGCATTCAAATCTGAACGGGTCAGATTCATAGTGGCTGATTTCCCGTCCGAATATAATATACTTCTGGGAAGACCAACCATACACCAGCGGGACATGCTGGTTTCTACAAAGCACCAGAAGATAAAAATGGTAAGCAGTAAGAATGAAATAATTACTGTTTGTGGAGATCAAAAGGAGTCCAGGGGATGCTATTTTGACACCATCAAAGAAAATGAAGGCGGGCATTTAAGTCCACCCCGGATTCATCCAGGGGATAGACTTAGCAAGAAGACAATTCCTCCACACTCAAGGAAGCCGGTCAATGTGGTTGAACTGGACATGAGAGAAGAAGTAATCCCGAGGCCTGAACCTAACGGAGAATTAGAAGACCTTGCCTTAGGAAAGGAACCTTATAACACCTCGTATTTTTATAAATGTATTATTGTATATGAAATGTGATTTAAAGGGGTAGGATTAGTGAAAATCCTGAGATTAGGGTCAAATTGCATAAGAAGGGTAAAATGATAATTTACTAAACACGTAACCCGAGACATGAAAAATTGAGTAGAAGACCTCAAATGGTAAAAATAATGCCGAAAATGGATTCAGAACAAAAAATCGAGTGGATAGGAAAGTTTCGAAAATTTTGGTGAATAGTGATTTTTTTCGGTATAAAATACTACGGTATAATTGTACCGATAAGCATGAAAATATGATCAG